TGTAATTGTGCACCTAAATAGTGGACCTGTGAGAAAGGTGGAGGTCAGAAAGTGGTCAGTGAGTGGAAAGTAGGCGGTTTCTAGTGGATGGTGATGGTGAGTTGAGGCTTAATGTTAAATGAAACACCCATATGTTTGTTTTTTATACAATGTCAGGACATGGTCAATTATAATGTCTCATGTATGTATACATTACATTATAATTACATATATGTATTGACCTATATGTAATAATAACATGATATATATATATATATATATATATATATATATATATGTATGTGTGTGTGTGTGTGTGTGTGTGTGTGCCTATATGTGATAATAGTGTTTATATATATATATATATATATATATATATATATATATATATATATATATATATACCCAAATGTAATAAAATATGCCCCCATATGTTATAATAATGTTATATATGTATGTATCAACATCTAATAAGAACTTTCTAAGTCTAATCCTAAACCTAACCCTAATCTTAACATCAGACACTGAAAAGAAGGTCCAGTCGGTCAGCCTTTTTCTGGTTTTCCTGCATCTTTGTCCTGAAAATGTACAAAAACAAATAAACAAACCCACACTGATGTATATAGAGAGCTGGGTTTGGTTGACCCGCCCTGCCGCTGCATCTGTGGATCTGATTGGAGCAGTGTCAGTGGTGTGTGTGTAGCGAAACTGTGACGGCGCTCTCAGAGGACGCGGGCCAAAAAAAAATACGGGCCTCACATGACGCTCACTGCTGCTCCGCTCACAGTCCACACGTGAGCGCTCGGCTACCACACACACACACATATACACACACACACCGAATTAACGTAGCTACAGGATAGCTGTGCTGTTTCTCTGACCTCTAACTGTTATTTGAGATGAGTGCATGTTTAGCCACTGGGGATGTCTGAGGGAATCTGACTAATTCAGGCTGAAGTTACGGCTGTTTATTTCCATATCAGGGAGGCATTTGAGATGGTCTGCAGCAGCCTTAATAGCCTTTTCATCTACGTTTACAGCTATTTTTATCAGCACTTAGCATCATTTGAAAACCAACGGACAGCACTGTGCAAAAATCAGAGACCAGCTTTCTTTTATTTAACTCACTTACAGCCATGAAGCAAACGTTATTCATTTTAGTGTCAGGAAAAAAGACAGAAAGCTTCAACAACTACATATGAAATATGAAATCAGTTGTTTCAGTGTTCAGTGTGTCACTCTTTACCTTTATTCCTGCTTCCGTTCTTTGCAGGAGACCCACTTTAAGTTTCCAAAAAAAATCTGCAGACACACCTCCAAAGTTCAGTCTCAGAAGCTGGTTGATCATTTTCTGAAGTAATCAAACACATTCAGTGATGTTGAGGTCTGGACTCTGGGGTGGTCAGTCCATCGTTCTTTGTTTGATGTGTCCGTCTCCTTTTCTCAGTGAGGTTCTTCTTGACAGCTACACATCCTTTCAGACCCACAGCGCTGAGTCGTCTTCTCACAGTGGAAGGATGGACAGAAACACCTGTGGATGTTTTCAGATCTGAAGCAGCTTGATTTTCTCCTCTCTCTCAGAGATGAAAGCTTTAAGTGCTGTTTATCTGATGGGGGCAGTTTTGGTGTCGACCGTGTCTTCCAGGTGGTTGTTAGGAGCCCCGTTTTCTCCGTAGCTTTTAATCATTTGTTGAACTCCAGTTGTGGAAACTCCCTTTCTTTCACTTATTTTACTTTGAATTTCTCCTTCCTTATGCAAGCGGATAATCTTATATCTAATCTCCTCAGGAATATTGCCTGAAAAATGAAATTTGGTCGGAAATTTAGTAATAAAGTCATCTCGTCTCTGACTTTTGCACAGTACTGTGTTTCCTTCCTATTTATCCACTACAAACATATCCCATATATATATATACTGCTGCTGTGGAACCAAAACCTAGTATCTCCGTTATTGTCGTTTTTCAGTTTTTGACATAATTTGAAAATGCCTGCTACTCTTTACATTGTGTGTAATCTTCACAATGAATGGACCAGAAGAAACGGCCCAACATGACTTGGTAAAAAGTCTGGTTCCATTGACTTACATTAAAAGTTAAGTAGGTTTTTTCCTTCTCCTGTAAAGTTACCATTTTGGAGATATGAGGTTTTGTTCTGACAGCAGAGATATGTGTGTGTGTGTGTGTGTGTGTGTGTGTGTGTGTGTGTGTGTGTGTGTTTTCAATACTCATCTCTACAAATTAATACTTATGCTAATTTGTTGCCCCCACAATCTTCTATAACCAGTTTAACTTCTTGATTGAAATTGTTTCCCCTCCAGTATGACAGACTAAACCTGATTAAAGTAAGCAATTATTTTTGTGTCATTTGCCCCCAGAACCCCACCTCTTTGAGTAATAGACTCCTAGTCAGCTGCAGACATTTTTGTGAGTGTTGCTCCAAGGCTATATACAGTACTATGCAAAAGTTTTGGCACCCCCCATTGATTTTCTAATTGAGTTCACACGTTTTCTACAGGCAACAAACTTAAATGTTGAAGTTCTTTTAGCGCACAGTTTATATTTATTTGCGGAATTGAATACATTGGAAGAACGTCAAACATTCAGCTGTTCAGTAATTGTACATGTTTACCTCTTGTCACCTGGAAAACGAGCAAAACTTTTCATTTAGTAGTTTGACGAGGGGTGCTAAAACTTTTTCACCTGTCTGTAGAGATGGAAAGGAAGCGACTGTGCGCTGGCTGTGGCCTTTGCAGCTCTTGCTTTTTTTAGACTTCATCCATAACTCTGTAGAGGAAGCATCAGTCTGGTCTGTCTGAGAAGGGGGTGGGGGGGGGTCTCATGTGGGCAGACATAAGTGAATTAGCCGTTAGTGATCAGTTAGTGGAGTTGCTCCATTTCCTCATTGCTGCAAGCTGTAATGGATGCAAACTGTTTAACGGCAGCAGATCCAATGTGTTTTTAAGGAAACACAGCCCCCTAGTGGAGACTTGGTGGACGCACAGTGCTCATCCTAAGAAGCCCTGCAGATATACAAGTATACAGTCTTGTGTAAAGCTTAGGGCACCCCAGTCAAACTTCATACTAATGTCAGTTTTTGAAAATAAACGAAAAGAAGTTCCTTCACAGGAACGTCTGTAACTTTAGTGCACAATTTCTTTATATTTTTATTAACTTTGCATATTGGAACAAAATAATAAAACATAAAATGTGGCATACAGTGTGTGCAAAAGTCTTGGCACATACCGCATTGTATGTTTTACTATTTTCTAATTTATTAGTAGTAAGTGTGCATTAAAATTTTAATTTTAATAAATGTCAGAAAAAAATATTACCACAATGTTATTTGACCATGAGTGTCTAAAATTTTGTATAAGACTGACCAAAGTTTAGACACATGTTCATACAGTACTGGTAAAAGTCAGAGACCACCTTCATTTATTTTATTTCTACACACTTTAAAAGGATGGTTCTTCATAGGTTCTTTAGTAAAGAAAATGGTTCTGTATAGAACCTGCATGATTAAAGCGTTCTTTGCATGGTGAAACTGTTCTTCAGATTCACCTAGAACGTGCTGTAGATGGTTCTATATAGAACCTTTTTGAAAAGATTCCTATATATCACCAAAAAGGGTTCTTCTAGTGTGACAAGCTTGACATCGTAACAATAGCAGAACCCTTTTTGGTGCTATTTAGAACCTTTTTCAAAAAGGTTCTGTATGGAGCCATATACAGCACATTCTCTGTCAAGCTGAAGAACACTTTCATGATGCAAAGAACCCTTTAATCATTCATATTAAGAGATCTCATGGTTCTATATAGAACCATTGTCTTAATAAAGAACCCTTGAAGAACCACCTTTTTTAAGAGTGTAGTCAAAACGGCTTTTAAGTTATTAAGTTAGTCAAATTATTCAGTTTTTCGGCACCAAGAACAAAACAGAAAAACGTTATTTAACAGAAAATTACACAGAAGCCTCAACAACTAAATATAATATCATATTTTTCAGTGTTCAGTGTGTCAATCTACCTTTATTACAGCTTCTGTCTCAGAAGCTGGTTGATCATTTTCTGAAATAATCAAACACATTCAGTGGAGTTGAGGTCTGGACTCTGGGGTGGTCAGTCCATCGTTCAGCTTCTTTGTTTGATGTGTCCATCTCCTTTTCTCAGTGAGGTTCTTCTTGACAGCTACACATCCTTTCAGACCCACAGCGCTGAGTCACCTTCTCACAGTGGAAGGATGGACAGAAACACCTGTGGATGTTTTCAGATCTGAAGCAGCTTGATTTTCTCCTCTCTCTCAGAGATGAAAGCTTTAAGTGCTGTTTATCTGATGGGGGCAGTTTTGGTGTCCACCAGGTCTTCCAGGTGGTTGTTAGGAGTCCCTGTTTTTTGCAAGTGGAATATCTTCTATCTAATCTCTTCAGAAATACCTCCTATAAAATGAATAACCTGTACTTAATGGCTGTTTGACTGGAAATGATGGGTGGTCTTTGACTCTTGCACAGTGCTTTAAATTCACTCAAGCATAAGCTTCCCTGTTTGCATTCATTAATTTTTTTGTGAGCATGAACCTGAACATCAGAATGGCTTAATACACTCAGTCAGTCGTGTCCTGTACTCTATTCAGAGGCAAATATCTGTTCTTTGTCTGCAGGTTAGAGCTTCAGGTTCTCTGTTCTGCAACAACACTTCACTTATCTACAAGTGTGCAAACCCTTCCTGAAGTTGTCCTCTTTTGTTTAACCCTTTGCAGAACTGCGTCTATACCTGTGGCCTATTTTAACCTCGTAACTTAGTCTTTCCACTGCTTTGTGGCTTATATATCATATCACCAGTGCTATACAATGCCAGTACACTGTATTACAGGTATTACACAGGTATATCTGCAGATTTGGAGCATAAGCCTGTGACGTTGTCAGGTTTTTATGTGTTGGTAAAGATGCTGTGAATGTTTGATTGTTGTCTAACCATGTTGATGCTTTTGTCTCCTTTCATTCCTCTCTGGATCGGACCAACAACAGAAAAGTCAAAGCTGGTACAACGTAAGTACTGTCGTTTTTCTTTTTTTCTCAGATCGTCATTTATTATGGGAGAGCAGGGCACAAACTAGCGCCAGGTAAAATGTAACATGGACCTTTTATCTAGTAAAACAGGTTCCAGTGGAACATGCTTTTGGGCACATTTTCATATTTCCATAGCAACATCATCTACTAATATTCTCAGCAATTGGACATATATTTCTAAAGATTCACCCTGAAGAAGTTTTGTACCGTAAAAATAACTTTTTTCATTGTAGGTGTTTTCGATTACTGGCTGAGCTGTCACAGAATTCACTCCTGTATTATTTAATTGACTGTCTGAGTGGCTGTAACATTGTTTGGAGGCAAGTAAACAACTTAAAGTGAGAGCTAGCCAGGCTAAAGTGCAGCCTCCCATTGGCAGGGTTAGTTTGATACACGGTTACCACTACAGACGTTTTTCCACTGTACAAAGTGGCAGAACTTTTGGCACCAGAGAAATGGAGCTAAGCTTTTTCCATTGGGCGTTGGTCCAGCTGGTAATAGCACTATTACATCACCAATTAGTGTATCAGAATGCAAACTATTGATATTTTTAGAATGATTTCTTTCTAAAGAGTGTGGTAAGGTAGCATATCGCTGCCGGCTGAACGAAACCTTGCATCCCCAAAATGGTAACTGTACAGGAGGAGGAAAAAACCTTCTTCACTTTTCATGTAAGTCAATGGAACCAGACATTTTTCCAAGTAATTTTGGGCTGTTTTTTTTGGTCCATTCATCATGAAACTTACACACAATGTAAAAAGCAACATGCATTTTAAAATTATGTCAAAAACTAAAAAATGGCAAAAATGGAAATATAAGGCTTTGTTCTGACAGCAGCGATGTGATAGGCTAGTTAAGAAGCTAGCACTAATGTTATTAGCATTGTTGCTTGCTCTGAATGAGTGTTTTGCTCTTTTTTCACAAAATATAAGCTTTTTTGATTCTACATATGATTCTGTGTAAATTTAGATTTTTTTTTTTAGTTTGAGCACAAATCAGTGCAGTGTATTGTTATATATCAGCCAATAAGTTAAGCTAACTAGCATGCAGTTAGCTAATTAGCAAAATTGAATACTTAAATTAGATACAGTGGCGAAAAAAATCAAAAAAATGGTTCCAGCTCTTTCAAGTAGGTGGAAAATGAACTACATTCTTAGCAAAAAGGGTTCTATATAGAACCCAAAAGGGGTTTTTTGGCTTGTAACAGTGGTGGGACAATTTCTGGTGCTATAAAGAACACTTTTCAAAAAGGTTCCATATAGAACCATCTATAACACATTCTCTATCAATCTGAGGAACCATTCACGATGCAAAAAACCCTTTAATCATGCAGAGGATTCTTTAAGTGTTCATGGTTCTATATAGAACTAAAGAACCCTTGAAGAATCATCATTTTTAAGATTGTAGGACTAAAACTGTAAGTTCCCTTGGTTCCTATTCAGATCAGTTCTTGTTTTTGAATGTGCAGTGGAAAAAAGCCCAATAGAACTCCCAAAGTAAACAATAAGAAAAGTCCATATCCCTCATATCAAGTCAAATACATGTATATAAACAAATACATTTTTATGGGAGTTTTTATGCACAGATTCATCAAAAACTAAAGTATATTTTATATATCTATATATAAAATATATCGCTGCTGTCGGAACAAAATCTCGTATCTCCATTTTTGTCGTTTTTCAGTTTTTGACATAATTTGAAATTGCATGTTGCCCTTTACATTGTCTGTAAATTTCATGACGAATGGACCAAAAGAAACGTCCCAAAATGACTTGGTAAAAAGTCTGGTTCCATTGACTTACATTAAAAGTAAAGTATGTTTTTTCCTTCTCCTGTAAAGTTACCATTTTGGAGATACGAGGTTTTGTTCCGACAGCAGCGATATACATTCATACATATATGTATATATTTAGGTTGGAAATGTTGTCAGGTTCAAACTATACAGAATTATATTAAATTAATTGTGTTCCCAGACTCTTTATCAACTATTACAACCAGCCCCTCAGTCTGTCACAGTTAGCCTTGCCTATGGGGCACTTGTGCCACTTTTGTATAAAAGTAATGTTAATCCTGCTCAAATGTTTTAAATATTATTTAGCAAAAATCATGAGGTGTTCTGTTGTGCCCCGCTCTCCCCTGCTGTACTTTCATATGACTTCGTTAAATTTCAGGATTCTGACTTTTTATAAAACTCTCGAGATGATCTGTGTAAATAGCAGATGAGCCATCAGTGATATTTATAGCATTAGATAATATTTAGTATGTATTAGTCATTTTGGCATCATTCCTCTGTGTACATAGCTCTGAAGTGTTTACAGCTATGAGTCTTGCTTTTTTCAAAGCCAGATGGAATCGGCTTAATATTTCGCAGTTCTCACGCCCACGGTCAGTTTCACGAATTAACATTGTCCAGTAATGTTTTCCCATGAGAAAATGGGCATTCAATGCGCTCTGAGAGGAGAGTGGAAATGCCTTCCGTGATGTTTTGTCAACTTTAGCGTCCTGGCCCCGGCCTCAGCTCTGTCTCGGACAATAAACAACAGAGAGCGTCAGCGCGAACGCGTTGTTGAAAGAATGTCCACTCGGGTTGTTGTTAGCCTTAAATGGACTGGAGGCCTGATACAATTGGTATAATTTTAAAACGGCAGCTGCCCTTTAGATCGTATGAACGTTTCATGATGAGCAGAACTTTTGGAAAGCAAATAAAACTTATTTATGCATAATTAAATGGTTAAGATGTAAATAGAGTCGTTCAGAGTGGTTTGGTGTGAAACGCTCTGTTCTAGAGAAACTTAGAGTCAGAATTGTTCACAGTGGTGGTGATAGGAACCAGACGTCCACCTCTAAAAGCTCCCTCACAGAAAGTTACTACATGAAATGGTTGTGAATTCACTGCCTGATGTCTGAGACATGATAGTGTTGAGTAGGTTTTGGACTAACACTTATATTTTTTAAATCCATTCATAGAGGAGGGATACATGCAGGGTGTTGTGGGGCAAAATAGTCCCCAAAGAAAACTTATATTTTTCTGATTTTTTCACTATTTTACCATCGTCAACATTACATATAAAAGCTCAGAAGACTCCTGTAGGATCACTGGTGGTTTTTGTTAGTAAAAAAAAAATGGCTATATTTGTGTTGTAGTCATGGCGACCCGTGGTTCCTATCACCACCACTGTAAAAAAAATCTGAACCATTTCACACCAGACCACTCTGAATGACTCTGTTTACATCTCAATAATTGAATTATTATTATTATATACTCCTTGAATTGTCCTTTAAGATAGTATCATATGCAAAAGTTTGTGCCCCCTAGTCAAATGACGGTTTGTTGATCTTCTAAGTGAAAATAAGTTCACACATCCTCTACAGAGAACACACCTCTGCACACTTTAATATACAATTACTGTTTATTTGCTGAATTTAACATATTGGGGAAAAAAAACATGGCCTGTAAAAGTTATGACACGTTATATATATATATATATATATATATATATATATATATATATATATATATATTACAATATGTTAAACAGCAACCTGTTTAAAACCTATTTACACTCAGAAATAAAACAAAAATTCATTTGACTGGTGGTGTTCAAACTTTTACATATGACTATGTTAAGACTTGCTTTAAGGTAAGCCTAATCTTCCACACCTCAATGAGAGGAAGGACATGCACTGCTTATACGTTTCCATATCAAGAACCCAGAGCTTTTCTTTGTTTTCATTTCATTTCATTTCATTTTTAGGTCTCAATTCTTCAGTAAAGGTTTCAGTGCAGATAGATGCTGTTCACAGTTTTATACAGTTGCATGTTGACGTCTGTTGTGCGGCGGTTGAAAGCCGTGTTGATTACAGTGCCTCAGCAGTTGTGCTGGTGGTGGGTGAGGCTCCTTGAATGAACAGAAACAGAGCTGCCAGTTCATATCCTGTTTATGAAAATCAGCAGGAAATAGGCATGTTAGGATGTCAGTTGTAGTCACGCTCTGTTGATATGCACTTGTAATATTACTGAAGTGATACTCGTTTCATGTCACATCAAGAAGTCAAGAAGAACTGACATCCCATTTACATTCATATAATATACAGAGGAACATTAACAGTGTTTCTCCAGAGTCTCAAGTGAGATGCAAGACTTTAATTGGGTTTATACACAGTACAAGTGACCTTGACAGTTGCATAACTATGTAATTACATATAAACATATATAATTACATGTTGTTATATACATTTACATATTAGTGTACTGTGGAATGAAACAAAACAGTCCTGTTAAAGTATCCTCACCACTAAATCAAATATTAATCTAATTCATTATGTAGCTAATTATGTAATTGACCTTGTAATTTTGTAATTACATATCAATAAAACTATAATTACATTTATATACATGTTAGTTTACAGTGGAAGATTAACAATGTTCCAGAGCTTTGGAGTGACATGCAAGTTTTTACTGGGTTTGTTCACAGTACACATTTATGTAATTACATATAAATGTAAAATCTAATTTACATATTTATAGGGATAGCGTGAAACGAAACAATGTAATTATGTAATTACATATATATGTAAATATGATTAAATTACCTTTGTATTAATATACAGTGTAACAAAACAATCCTGTAGATGTAGAATGTAAATCAAATATTAATGTCAATTTAATATGTAGCTATGAAGTTAATTATGTAATTACATATAAACTAAACTGTAATTACATTTATATACATGTAAGTTTAAAGTGGAAGATTAACAACGTTTCACCAGAGCTTTAGAGTGACATACAAGTTTTTACTGGGTTTGTACACAGTACATATTTATGTAATTACATCTACATGTAAAATTACATTTACATATTTATAGGGATAGCGTGGAATGAAACAATGTAATTAATTATATATTTCTGTAATGACATACATAGAAATATAATTAAATTTACCTACACCTACAGTGTAACAAAACAATCTTGTAGATCT